GTGAGTAGGGATTGGCATCTTAAAAGCTAGTGAGCAGTCATCTAAGTTACAGTTCTTAGTTTCTCCCCGTCTAGAGCAAAGAAGAGTGGAAAGAATTAAAGATGCATGGAAATAATCCAATGGACCCTGTGAACCCCAACCGTCATGACTCTGAGACCAGAAGAACTAGATAGTGTCCTGCTACCACTATTGACTGCTCTAAAATGATCGTATCAGGAGATCCAGAATAGAGGAGAACAATGACGAACAAAACTCACAATTATAAAAAAGACCAAGCCTGCTGGTTGGATAGACTGATAGAACTCCCAAGACTATGACTCTGAGTTATCCTGAGGCCTGCTTTCACTCACATGGCTCAGTTTTCAGTCAAGCGATTGTCAGGTCTACCAGGTGAAGAATTTTACTAGGGAGGTAGACACTCTTCAGAATAATAAACCATTTGAGATCAAAAGGACATTTACTGAGGACACCATTCAGAAGAATTGAGAAAGAAGGAGTAATGGAAATGGGAAACATAAGTGGGACAAGTGATATTACATCGTGGGGATTACAATTACTGAGATGACACAAAATGTGTATGGATTGTTGGATGGGAAAACTGATTTATTATATAAACCTTCACCCAATTCACAATAAAATTTTTAATGAAGGAGGTCTGGAACAGAGTGGGATAAAAATGTAGAAAACAATGAAGAATTCAGAAGAAATACCAGACTCACTGGTTTGATAGATACTGGTGGACTCCGTGAGACTATGGCCTTCAAATCTGAAATTCCCAGAGCTCACTTTAGGCAAACAAAAGACAGGCCTACAAAGTGAACGGTAACACCTGTGAGGAATGTGTCCTCAGAACAATTGATCACCCAAGCTATAACGGGCAGCAGTTGCCCAGAAACAAAGTTTAGAAGGCAAAAGGGGGCAAGAGAGATGATTAATGGAAACTGGGAGCCCAGGGAGGATGTAAGAAGAGTGCAGCTCCATGGACAGAATTGCAACTACTGTCGTGAACCAAACCTGCATAAGTAAACTGCTGAGTGTGAAACTAATTTCCTTTATAACATTCTGGAGAAGGGGAGGGGAGGGAGGGGGCAGGAAAGAGAGAGAGAAATAAGTGACCAGAGAGCAGCGGAAAGATGCCAGTCCCATGGAGATCTCCACGGAATCCGACTGGGGTACTCCCTTACCGGGAGGGAAAGCCTTCCCCTCACTGGCCCTCTGAATCCCGAAACCAAGCCTCCCGCACGGTAATAGGTTCCTGCAGTAAAGCCACAAAACCAGACAAAGGAGCCACAAACAACAGGCCAGGTGGATCTCTTTGGAAGTCAGTGTAAAGGAATTGTTGAAGGAGATTCTACTTTGTTAACAGGTGATTATAGTCATGTACTAACATGGCAATTAAAAGACAATCTTT